CCCTGCCACGGCAGCGGCGGGGACGGGCCCTGCCCGCCGGGACGGGCCCTGGCCGGGATGGCGGGGGGTGGGCCCTACCCCGGGGGCAGCTTGTCCCCCGTCCGGGCAGCCCCGAGGGGCTCCCCCTGGAGCGGTGCCGCGGGGGGGGGTGACCCCCGCAGGTGACAGGGCCACCCCCTGTGGGTGACAGCATCCCCCGCCCGGGGCGGCAGCAGCGGACACGGGAAGGGGCCGGAGCCTCAGCGGGGGTGGGTGGCAGGGCAGGGCTGTGGGGTCTGCAGGTGGGGGAGCCCCCTCCTCCCTGTCTGCCCTCCCCCCCGTCTGACCCCCGCCCGTCCCCGCAGACACCGAGATCGACTGGAAGGCCTACATGGAGGAGGTGGAGGGGTTTGCCAACGGGACCCTCGACTACACCCAGCTGAAGGGGGACACCGGGCCGCTGGTGTGAGTGACAGCAATGGGGACAGCTGGGCTCTGGGGGGGTCCCAGAGGGCCCAGCCCCTTACTGCCTCCTCTCCACAGCTACCCCGCCGGCTTCGTCTACATCTTCCTGGGCCTGTACTATGCCACGGGCCGCGGCGCCGACATCCGCCTGGCCCAGTACCTTTTCGCCGGCCTCTACCTCCTCAACCTCCTCCTCGTCTTCCGCATCTACTGCCGAACCAACAAGGTAGCCTGGAGCTGGGGGCTCTCCTGCTCTGCTCAGCCCTCACCTGGACAAAACAGGCTGGGGTGCGAGGTTTGGAGGGCTCGGTGGCGGTGGGGGGTCCGGGACAGGCTGCTGACGGCCTTCGTGTCTCTGTCCCCTACAAGGTCCCCCCATATGTTTTCTTCTTCATGTGCTGTGCCTCCTACCGCATCCACTCCATCTTTGTCCTGCGGCTCTTTAACGACCCCGTCGCCATGGCCATCCTCTTCCTGGCCATCAACCTCTTCCTGGAGGAGCGCTGGTCCTGGGGCTGCCTTCTCTTCAGGTGAGGGTCTAGGGGCCGGGAGGGGGCTCCTTTCCGTGGCTGAACAAGCCCAGCCCCAGGGCACAGGCTGCCTGGGCCCCGCTGCGGGAAGCCACAGCAGTAACACTGCTTTCTGCTCAGCCTGGCCGTGTCCGTGAAGATGAACATCCTGCTCTTCGCACCCGGGCTTCTCTTCCTGCTCCTCCAGCGGTTCGGTCTCCGGGGCTGCATCCCCAAGCTCTGCATCTGTGCCCTGCTCCAGGTGCGTCCAGCACCCTGCCTGGCTCTGCTGGGGGCTGGAGACCCCTAGGGGGATAGACAGGGCCACCAGCATCTGAGCTGGCCCCACACAGTGACCTGGAGGCTGATAAATCATCTGATTTGTGGGGCTCCCATCTTTGGCTAATGGTCGCCCCGTGTGGTGCCGGAGCTCTCGGGAGGTGACACGGGTGAGGGAGCCCTGTCTTGAGGGCACTGGTGTGTCTCCCGCAGGTGGTCCTGGGGCTGCCCTTCCTGCTGGTGAACCCCCTGGGGTACCTGACACGCTCCTTCGACCTGGGCCGCCAGTTCCAGTTCAAGTGGACGGTGAACTGGCGCTTCCTTCCAGAAGAGGTGTTCCAGAGTCGGGCTTTCCATGTGGGGCTGCTCCTGGCCCACCTGGCTGGCCTGGGGCTGTTTGCGCTGCACCGGTGGCACAGGTGAGACATGGGGCTGCCCGTGGGTTCTGGTCCCCATCAACCGATCCCCGTCAGCCCCCGTGGTGCAGGACACGGGTCCGTGACCCACCCTGCTCCCTCAGTGCTGCAGTCCTGGGGTCACGGGCGGGATTGGGGGACAGTTACTGTTCCCTTTTGGGGACTGCACTGCCCAAGCATCGTGGTTCACAGGGGAAGGTGGGTGTGAGAAAGACTTTCAGGGGCTGAGATCCATCTTTGTGCTTCCCCCTCAGGTCCAAAGAGAGCATCCTGGCTCTGCTGAAGGATCCTGCCAAAAGGAAACACCCGTCCCCTCCCCTGACCGTCAACAATATCCTTTGGGAAGGTGGGCAGCGGGGACGGGGGGGACGCAGGGCAGGGAGCGGCGTTGGCAGGGTCCCGTCCTGGGGAGCTGCTGGGCGGTCCCTGCTGCGTTTGCCCCCTTAACGCCAGCCCCACAGATCGTCTTTGTCCTCTTCTCCTCCAATTTCCTGGGCGTCTGCTGCAGCCGCTCCCTGCACTACCAGTTCTACGTCTGGTACTTCCACACCCTGCCCTACTTGCTCTGGTGCACCCCCACCGCCAAGCTCGCCCACATGCCCAAGTAGGTGCTGCCGGGGGGGGGGGAACCACCCGTCTGCTGGGGGGCTGGTGTTTTTCCCCCCTGCTGACCACCGACCTTTCCCCCCCGCAGGGTGCTGCTGCTGGGAGTGATCGAGCTCTGCTGGAACACTTACCCCTCCACCGTCTGCAGCTCCCTTTCCCTGCACATCTGCCATGGACTTGTCCTGCTCCAGCTCTGGTATGGCACGGCCCCTCCACTGGCCCCACAAACCCCCCCGCCCGGCAGGAAGCCCCCAGCCCTCTCCAAGAAGGCCCAGTGAGACCGTGGCCGGCCGGACGATGGGAACTGGCCTCTGGGACTGCTCCTTCTGCCCACTCTTCCCCCGCTGCCCCCAGCCACCCCGGGAGGGCCCTGAGTCCCAGAACTGCAAAGGGGGCAGCGTGGGGACCCCCCTGTGGGCAGGACTTCCCCAATAAAGGGGGCTTCACGTGCCCTTCCCCAGCCACAGTGTCCTCATGCTGTGATGGCATCAGGACAGCTGTGCCTCCACCTGCCCCACCTCGGGGGAACCAGAGGGGCCCCCAGGGCTGTGGGAGCTCCTTCCCAGCCCCACAGAGTGCTGCCCAGGGGCTCCCTTCCCAGCCCCACAGAGGAGGGGCGCAACCTCTGGGGTGAGGTTAAGACAGAGGATCTGCAAAACCACATTGTCTAAATGTTTTAATTCCCTTGATGCAGCCCAGGGATCCCTCCAGCACGGCTTTTCCTAGTGCCCTGGCTGCTCCCTCCGCATGGGAGGTGGCTGGGAAGGGGGTGAGACCCCCCCAGCCCCGGTGTGGCCTGAGTAGGGCCAGCAGCTCCTGCCTGTGACAGAGACTCTGGTGCAGGCGGCGCGGGGCCAGGCACCTTTATTGTCCCCTCGGTCAGACATTGTTGGGGTTGTAGCAGAGCATGTTGAGGGTGATGTTCTCGTCCCAGTGCCGGAGCAGCAGGAACAAGTGCCGGGCCGCCCCTTTGAGGCAGCCCACGTCCACCCCGGGGGGCAACTGCTGGGCCCGCAGCCAGGCGTCCGCCTTGGCCGCCACCAGCTCCCACTCCTCGAAGAAGCCGGCGCAGCGATGCTCCAGCCAGGCCAGCGCCACCGCCGTGGCCCAGCTGGTGCTTTCCAGGTCCTCTGGCCCCGCATCCTGCAAACTCACGCCCGTCTCGGAGGGGGCGGCCGAGTGGGGGCCAGTGTCGGACTCGGAGCCGTGGCCGCTGTCAGCCTGTGCCCACACGGCCGCGCTGGGCACTTCGGAGCAAGTGCTGCGGGACGGGGGGGAGCTGGGCTGCGGGGCCACAGCCGGCTCCTCGCCCTCCTGGCTGCGGGGCCCAGCCTCGGGGCTACTGCTGGCCCCCGGGGAGGTGGGGCTGAGGCTGGCGCGGTGGCAGGCGTAGGGGGAGGCCCGGCACAGGCGGTCCAGGGGGATCTGCACCACCTCCGAGAAGCTCTCAGTGAGCTGGAACGGGCCCTGGGCTTCCTGCAGCTGCCCCTGCAGGGGAGGGGGGGGGCTGGGGGGGCAGGCAGGTACAGACCCTCCACGGACTGGTGGGGGCTGCAGGAGCGTCCCTGGGGCACGGGGGCTGTCCAATGCCCCCCTCCCCAAAACCAGCAAGGGCCGTTCAAGGTAGCAGCAGGGCACCGGCGGAGTTTGCACCCTGGGGCATGGGCTGGGGGGGTTGTGGGCCAGCAGGGAAGGTGCGTGCTGGCGCCCGCAGTGGGACGGGGAGGGGGTGCTCACCAGCGGGAGGTAGTCGTGGCTGGCACGGTGGTCGGAGCGCTCGCTGTCGGGGCTGAGGCACGGTGGCCGCAGGGCCAGGCTGGGACCCCTGCGCCGGCCCAGGCTGAACCTGCGGGCAAACAGCCGGGGGGCACGATTACTGGGGGGGCCTGCTGCACCCCAGCCCGCTGCGGGGAAGGAGCTGCAGTGCCCCCCTTGCCACCAGAGCCGTTGGGGGACGTGCAACCCCACTGCCCCCCTCTCCCACCAAAGTGCCGGTTTTTGCCCCCCGCCCCCAGCCGCACCTGGAGCCGGCGATGCTCTCCGTGGATTTCTGGGAGCCCATGGAGGCGGTGGAGGGGCTGCTCGGGGGCCCTGCAAGTGGGGGGAGAGCTCAGCATGGGGGGGCCGCAATGGACCCAGTGCTGTGTCCTGCTCCCCACTGTGGGGCAGAGCAGGGGCTTCCAGCTCTCAGGGGTACCCCTGTCCCCCCCGCATCCAGCCCCTGGACCCCCACCCCAGACCCACCGTTGGAGCTGTTCTGCTTCTCCCAGCCGTAGGTGGTGGAGGAGGCGCTGGCCGGGGACCCGGGGGTCTCCTCTCGCTCTGCAAAAGAGCAAAGCCCTGAGGGTCCCTGGGCTCCCGGGACCCTCATGGCCCAGACCCGCAATGCTACCCCCCTGTCCCCACCAGAGACTGACGGCTCTTCCCAGGCACCCACTGCTCTTTCCAACAGCTGAGGGTCCCAGGGGCCCCCGGATCGGTACCTGCGGCGTCGGGGGGCTCATCCTGCTCCTCGGCATCCCGCTGCTGGCCCAGACCCGCCAGGGGACTCCCCCGGTGCCGGCTCATCACCGCGGTGGCCAGTGGCCGGCTGGCTGAGCCGGCTGCAAGGGACAGTGCCACCTCAGCCTCCTGCTCCCTCACTGCCCCCTCCCCAGCCCTCCAGCCCCCCCGGCCATACCTGTGCCCCACACCTCGGGGGCGGCGGGCAGGGCCGCCTGGGTGGCAGCGTCGATGGGCACCAGGCGAGTGTAGAGGGAGGGCACGCCGCAGGCTCTGCTGGTCTGCAGGGCTTTCAGGCGGAAACGGCGGGCGAAACCTGCTGGGGGGGGGTTAGAGGTGGGGAGGGGGATGCCGGGGATGGGCCAGGGTCGGGGGACACAGCGGCACCCACCCTGCTGCAGCTCAGCCTCCCGCTGGGCCGCGTTCTCGTTGTCCCGGATGACAGACCGCGCTGCCAAGCGGTGCAGGGGCTTCTCCCCGGCCTTGCCCCCCCGGGGCAGGGGGTCCTCCCTGCCCGGCCCCTCCCGGGGCTGCAGCAGCGGCTCCAGCGAGACCATCACCTCCCAGGACACGGGTTTGCCGGCCTGCAGCCCGTGGATCACCACCTGGCAGCGCAGGGGTGGGCTGGCGTCCCCCCCTGGCTCGGGCACTGGTGAGGCGCTGAAGAGGTAGGAGGGCTCCACCAGCATGTCCCAGTCCAGGTGGGTGGGTGAGAGGAGGTTATCTGGGAGGCAGCAATACACGGGGTGGTCAGCGAGGCTGGGGGGGGACCCAGCTCCATCCCCACTGTCCCCCCAGGAGCCAGCACCCACTGGACTCTGCCACGCCGGACTGTGACTGCCGTCCCCGGGGTCCCAGCTGGTCCAGCTGCCCCTCCAGCGACTGGTTCCTCTTCTGCGACACCTTCTCCAGGGCCCGCCGCAGCCGGTGGGCGTCCAGCTCTCCGTGGGGCGAGGAGAAGCTGCGGCCGGCCATGGCAGCGCGGGCCAGCCCCTTTCTCCGCCGGGCCAGCTCCTCCGTGCTCAGGGCCACCGTCACCTGCGGCAGGGGGAGACTGATGGCGACCCCAGCACAGAGCCCAGCCTGCGCCCAGCCCTGACTGGGCACCTGTGGACGTTGGCTGGGGCCACTGGCCATCCCCCAGCCCCGCTGTGCCACAGGCTGGCACCCAGCAGCCCCCCGGGGCCACCAGCGACGCTCGCCAGGCTCCTGGTGCGTGTGGGAAGGAGCGATGTCAGTGCCGAGACAGGAGTTTGCAAACATCCCTGGGGGTGACTCAGGCTCACGCTGAGGCGGGGGCGGGGGGGGGGGGGGGTGTTCGTACCAGTTCTCACACCAATTGCTTTCCTGCACAAGAAAATACCCACAGGAGCAAGCTTTGGTTATAGAAATTCGGGGGGGGGGGGGGGGAGGGCAGGGATTTTTGTGAGGTTTTGTGAGTTATTAGCACAGTCGCTCAGGCTGGAAGATGCTGCAGTGGGATACAGTCCCCAGCGCAGAGCCATGTCCCTACTCCGAGATGCTTCATCCAAACACGATGACAGGGCAGTGGCACCCGCGCCCCCTCCATCTCCGGCAGCAGGGAGCCGGGGAGGATCATTTACGCTGCAGGGAAATCACTTACGCTTGACATTTCGGCAGCAAAGGCCACCAGCTGCGCCGCCAGAGCCGGTTACCCAAGCTGTGTGCCAGTGGGAAGCAGTGTGTCCCCAAGTGGGGGGACTGCTGGCCTCACCTGGCCTTGGGGACATCATCCCCGGGGAGCTGCCACCCCCCATCCCTCTGCCCTGGCTGGGTTTTAGCCCAGGAGTGAAGCAGCAGGGACAGAGCCTGTCCTTAATTAATCAATGGGCAACGTTGGCCGAGGGCTGAAGGAGCCAGGCAGGAGCTCAGCCAGCTCCCCCCCTGCCAGCTTGACAGGTCCATTACCTGATGCTGGCCCAGCTATTTCCACTTAATTTCTGCTGCATTAATGAGGATCTGAGCTGGCTCAGAGGGCTGTCAGCCACCCAGGGGACTACTGGCCTGGGGAGCTGGGGGACCAGCTGCTTAGTCCCCAGCTGTCCCCTTCCAGTAGGACAAAAATCACTCAAGGACTGTCCCCACAGCACCCATGGCTGATCCTTCCCTAAAATCCAGGCCACAATGCTCTGGTTTCCAGCCCAGCAGCCCCTTTTCTGGGCCCAATGGGGCAGCGAGACTCCAGCCAAACTGGGAGGAAGCCCCCGCTTGCACCCCATTGTCATCCTTACCTTGGTGCCGGCCGGGGCAGAGGGCAGTGGGGCGGATTTCGTGGAGGACTCGCAGAGGGACAGGCTCTTCTGTCCCTGCTGGGAGGTGGCATCAGCACCAGTGGCCAAGGAGCCACCCTCGGGGGCCATGTCGCGGGAGCCGGTGGACTCGCTGCTGGTGGAGCTGCGGGAGAGCAGCCCCCGGCTGGGGTCGGTGCTGACGGAGCAGTGGGTCAGGACGTACTGCTCCTGGATGTAGGAGGGCTGGTAAATCCGCTTCCAGATGTCACTCCCCGAAACGGGGTCCCCACCTGCCCAGCGAGCACAGACCCCCCCATCAGCCC